AAATCGTGCCAAAAGCTCGCGAGTTAAGAAAAATGTGCCATACAGAGGTGATGCTTCGGAGCGTTAGCGCATCTCGCATAACTCGTTTGATATTTTAGGTATTTGGAAAATTGAAAAAGCGGTTTGTAGCGATGAACATTCTTCAAAATGTGCTTTTTCCAATTGTTAAACTTCCTGCAAAAACACAGGTTTTCTATAAAAAAACAACTGAAGGGCGCTAAGATTTCAACCATTGGGAAAGTTGAGAACAAAAAGCTTCATGATAACAACATGACTTTCTTCTGAAAAATCGCTTTCCTGTGAAAAAACTCAATTTATACAAAAAAACGCAAGTTTAACGAGTTAATGTGCTCCCGTTAAGTCGGTCGCTAAATGGCGCACTTCTCATAACTCGTTTTGTGTTTCAGATATTAGAAAAATTCAAAAACTGTTCTGCGGTGAGGAGAATTCCCCAAACGTGCTTTTCGGAACTCCCAAAATTTTTCAAAAAACCTGCCAGCGTCAGAATAAAAAAGAGATTTTTCGATTTTTTTCCGGCCACAATCGGGATATAAAAACATGCAAATACATCCCTAATTCTCGGGCATTTAACTGAATTTTTCGTGATCGAAATCGACTTTTGTAGGCGATTGTGCCTCTAAAACAAATTGATGACCTGCATAGTGAAACGCGCGTATATCAGTATATCGTATATGCAGACCCACCCATTAGAGATCAAAAGGCTTAATTATTATGCCAGCAACAGCATTGACATTGAGAGGCGTCTGTGACCCGAAATAGTAATAGCGAATCATTAGTATGAAAGCGATCGCCCACAGGTGAATTTAAAGTTTATTTACCCGGAGTTTGAGGTGAACAATGCGACCACTGCATGGTTGATTGGGTCTAAACGAGAACTTATCGTACTGATTTGTCCCATTGGCCTTGTTGGTTCTTTTATGGCCACTGCTTAGTGTTTTATTGTGTTCGTGGGTGCTGCAACATGCTTTTGTTCCAGTAATTAGTCAATCAAAAAGAAAGTTTCTGCCGTGCAAATGCAGTTGTTTTCCGAACTGGATCAATAACTATTTACCTAAACGTTTTCCCCGAAAACATTGGAAACAGACGGAAAGCGGTGGATTTTCATTTAAAGCAACCAAAGAGGACCCGAATATTGTGATTGATGGGCCAAGCCACTCTCAAAGAAAACTCGCTGGCATTCTGCAGGCAGTTTTGTGCCAAATCAGTGAATCTTTCCTCAAAATAATTAATGATTCCTTGCGAAACACGTTTAGCAAGTCACGAGTTACTATTAGCTAAAAATGATACAAACTTATTCGGTGCGTCTAAAACACTTGGGTACTTATTTTTAAACTCCTTAAACATGCAAACAAAAGAAAACTGCGACATTTCCAATGCAAGTTCGAATGGAATGTATTAAGCATGTTTTGCGTCCTACACGAACTCAATAAATCAATAACAATTTCACTAGTTCTTGTGTGTCCGACGGCGTTATGCAATCGCAAATAGCGAATAATTCAAATATTTACTCGATATGAATGTCGGTATTGACCATAACTAAAAAAAAATCCCGTTAC